GAAAATGCCACAGTGGCGAGACAAGGCTCAACTCAGAGAAGGAGGTGGACGAGCGTGTTTGGCAGTGTGGGCTGCAGTCACTGGGGAGTTTTGTTTTCGGCTTCAAGGGAGAGGAGGCCCTTGTGGGAGCCTACGAGGATTTCTAAAATAAGTGCTCTGAGCCAGTCTGTCACTGTGCATGTTACCAAGTATGTCTGGGCAGGAGTGTGTCAGTGTGTGAGTTACTGAGGATCGCTATGCATAAGTAAGCATGTAATTTCGTGAGTCACTGAGGATTTCTATGCATGAGTGACTGTTTCTGTGTTTAAATATGAATAATAACATCCAGAGCCTCCAGTCATTCTAAAAAGGTTTAATCAAGGCTATCAAAAAACTGGATTGTCAAAAAACATAGCTTGCTGAATTTATTCATGAGGTTTCAGGAACTGAAGTAAATTCAGCATCCCAGCAGTTTCTCCCAGGTCTTTTAAAGTTCCCAGGAAGATCAAAGAAAGAGCCCTAATTAAGATCCTTAAAAATGTAAAACCAGAATGGGATCACTTGTGTGAAAGGTGGAAGCGATGTGTTCAGAGTCCTGTGCGCATGTCCCCTATTGTGGGATGCTTTCAAGCTCAACAAGTGTCCCTGCGGTCGCTGGTGGATCTGTCTAGCTTTGCACGGTGTCGGGCGTTGACTGTAACGTTCATCTGTTGGTGGGTTGGGGATTGGAGGTACTTGGCAATGAGGAGCGTACATGTAAAATGTGAGTGACAGCCTGCAAATACTTGGGAGAACGCAAGGGGGAGAATTTCAGAGCTCACTCGCTGAGCACATGTTAACATTACGCTTTACCTAGTTGTGTTTTCACACAGGCCTACCGAGTCTGGCGCTTTCAGCGAGACACTCGCCCAGGCTGCCCCTGCGTCCCACTGCCCCCGCTGTCATCCTGGCCTTGCCTTACCTCCGCGTTGTGCTGGGACCCAGGGGTGCGTTTGTGTCGCAGCCTCCCCCACTTGCAGGTCTGTCATTTCATCTTAATCTCTCGGATGCCATCACTCCCACCCCCCGTGGTGTGGCACAAATGAAGTTAAATGAGGTGAGTAGGCCATTCTGTAGATTAATATAAAGACATTCCAGGAATGAATAAAATACAAAGAATTAAGACAACTGAAGGCTATCCACAGAGGTCAAGTTAAGAAATGAGTGGCTGAAAGGTTTGTGCAGTGGTCTTTGGACAGAAGTTATCATGGTGTCTGCAGAATCAGCAGAGCCGGTTGGGTCCTGTGGCAGGGTGAGAGCCAGCGTGCCCAGCACAGCTGCAGCACTTGCAGGCTGCACACAGGCCTGAGCACTGCGGCCAGCCAGGCTGTCCCCCAGCGGGGTGTGCTGGGTCCTCTCTGCCGCAGCCCTTTCCCACGGAGGGCTTTCATAATGGGGAGCTCTGAAGTCGCCCTCTGCTCCCAGGGGAACCAGGTACTTCTGCGGCACGCTTGCAGCAGGCTGAGCTCTGAGTAAATGGACCTCTGCAATGAACTTATCAGAGCTTTTCTAAAAGGCAATTTTTTTCACCACGGGTATCACAAAGTTGGTGAGTCTGAGTTTGACCCTGAGAAGACCAGATGCAGGTTTTGAAGCAGTGCTCGTTAGAGAATGGTATCATTTTTTTCATTTCATAATTGGGTGGGCACAAGCGTAAGGAGTCTCAGTGGGTATCTGTGCCGTGCATCTCTTAAAGAGCACTGGCAGGGTGCCCTGAAAGAAAGCTAAAGAAATGATACATTCTTTCCTCTCACTAACCCAATCTGCCATTACATCAGACTTCCTTGGATTCAACTTCAACAGTTGCTCTTCAGCCTGGTGCTGATCTCATCCAAATGTTTGGGTAGCGGGCAGATGGCATTGTTTGCATCTGAGGTGAAGCTGATGTAAAGTTTGGAGTGATTTTCTTATCGCTGATACTTTATCCTTGCTGTGCAGCAATGTATACTAGAGGCTTACAGAGAACTCTGTGTGACACAGCCCATCTAAGAACAAAGCTGGAACCCAGGTGCTAAAATAAAAGCAGTTATTGAAAGCTAGTCAAATATTATCTGCAGAGAGTTTGCAGCCCTATCTCTGTTGTGCAGCTACATCTCTTGTGGAGCAGCTGCAGCTAATAAATAGGGTGCGGGAATACTACAGACATCCTTGGAAAAGAAGGACGCAGAGATAAATGCAGAATAAACATGAAATACAATTATCCAGCTTGGAAGTGGGTTGCCACACGATTCTTATTGCCTTTCCTTTGGGGAATTTTACAGAAACAGACCTTCCACTTTCATCATCTGATAGAAGGTGGTACCTTCCATAGCCTAATACACATTGGCAGCCCTCAAAAGCTTTTGTTCTTTATTGATTGAAAGATAACATCCTTGCTGCCTACCGAATCACTGACTGACAGGGCTGCAAGGTTTTCCCTAGCTGAGGCTTCTTGGCAGTTGACTGATGAGCCAGCCCCGGGTAATCCCAGGGGTGCCTCCACTGTGGCTGGCAGCTGGGGGGTCCTGCTCTTAACAGGGCAGGCGACAGAGGTCTCCTGGCTGGGCAGCAGCTGGAGCTTGTGGTGGCTGTGCCATGGCTGTTGGCTCACATCCTGGTTTCTGTCCTGAGATTGTGGGACTCGACCGTTTTCTCAGTTTCTGTTTCTGGCCGTGGCTCTTTGGCGATGTAATCTTGCTCCAGCCCTTGGCCCTAACAAGTGTGCAAGATTGACTGCACAGCCTAAGGGTGGCACTTCAATCCCCTCTCAGCCCACATAGTTATAGGGTTGTAGTGGTAAATCCCCGGTCACTTGTTGGTCTGCGTGCCTAATCCTTTTTCTGCGTTTTCAGCTCCTAGCTGTGTTTGCCTTTCCTGTTGCAGCTTTTCATGCCTTTCATGCTGATTTCAGAGCTGATTCCTACAAACTGGAGGAAAAGTAAAATTGCAGTTCTTCTTACACAAGAAATTCAAATTGCTAAATATCTCATATTAATACTTTTTTGCTTTGAAATAGTAACTCATTCAACAAAACTGAGCACAGTAAAACTGTGGAAGAGAGAGAGAGAGAGAGAGAGAATGAAGTCCCCAGAATATGCTAGGCGTTTGAGTGCTTCCATAAGCTGTGTGAGAGAAAAAGGCAAGATAGGCAGTCCTCTGTCATCTCGAGCTGGGGAATGTGCAGATCTCAGCTGTGGAAAGACATCACACAAAGGAAGAAGGCAGGAGACTTCTTTTCCCTTTGTTTTGAAACACATTGGGTTAAATCTTTGACACTAACAGATGGGACTTCCAACTCTTCCCTTTGCAATGGCTTCATGAAGTCATATTTCTGAGTAACACGTAGCTGATGTAGCAGGTGCGCCACTCAAAGCAGAGGCAACAGCCTAAAACCTGGCTCCTTGGTAGCAAGCGGAGTACAGCATGGCCGCATGTAGCATGGCTGCACTGGCCAAGTCCTGTAACAGGCATAATGTAAGGCAGGAGAAGAAGAAACACTATTTTTTAAAGTGGCACTAGCTAAGTCAGGGTATGGTGTAGTCTCTATAGCACCCCTTGCCCTTGTCACTTGGGATTCTTTGCTAACTTCCCTGGTGTAGTTATGCCTGTAAAACTTGATAATGCAGGGAAAGCTTGTGTGGCTTTAAGAGATAAACCCAGCCACAATTTTTGGCTCCTTACCTAGTCATCTGCAGGGAATCAGCAGACAGAACAGATAAGCTGAGAGAAGACGCGACAAAGGATTACTAGATACAGCTACAAGAAAGGCAGTTACTTTGGGTAGATGTTTGGGGTCAAATGCTGGATTGAAGCCATGAGCAGAGAAATTTGGGGGAGGGGGTTCCCTTGAACACAGAAGGGATCAAGGTTTTGTGTAGGATTTGTGAATAAAAAGGAGTGAAAACTCTGTCATCAATTTTTTCTCATTTCATTAAATGTGTGGGGGATATTGAACTTTGAACTACCTAAAAGGGGCTGGATTCACTACTGATTGCAGAGCTGTGCTGGATTCATCTGTCTGGCTATAAAATAACTGACGTAGCAGAGTAACGAAAGCTAGCATACTTTTGTAACGCTTGGGCATTAATTAACAGAATATCTGTGCTTATGCATAGTATGATTTAGCAGACAATGTTCATTCGATGGAAGGTGGAAGATATGAAATCTTACATTAAAGCTAATATTTGGTATAAGAATTAAGAGAACTTTGCCTGTGTAAAGTATGTTGCAATTTTCATGGGAAATACAATAGAGATGTAAAACAACTGGATTTGGTTTTGTTACACTACAGGAAGTAGCCACAATAAGTTAGAAAATTTTAGATGGTATATTTTTTATCACGTTCCTCTTGATGTAACATAAAAATGTATTTTGTCAGGTCTGGTAATCTAGTTAGAGTATTCAGAGAAATTGAACATTAGACTATGATTCATATAGTGTAAAAAAATAACCAACTCTCTACGTGAGGAGAAAGTCATCTATTTGATAGCGCTAGTCAGTATATTACAGCTTTCAAATGTAAACCACAATACTGTGCTTTTCTTATACATTAGTTGTATACAATTACTCAGAATATTACATTTTGTCTATACTGCAAGTTGAACGTACATCAGCAGTACATTTATTTCCCCAACATAATTCTTTTCCAGTTTAAATCTCTGTTTCTCTAATGTTAGTTAACAGCAATGCTGGTTAGAAAAAGTGAGATGAGGACAGTCATAGATAAAATATGAAATAAATATTAATTGTGGTATTCTTTATTTGAAAATAATTTTAAAGTACAATGACAAGTATACTCTATAGCTAGAAAATTTGCATGTTGTAATATATCCATGAAATTAATGAATTGGTTTTCTTTCCTTTGGCAGTATCTGTCCTGCAAGCTTTTAGTATTTCAATAAATCGTAGCTGCTCATGAGAGTAGCCTGACACTGGTGCTAATTGAATGCTACTGGATTGTTAGCTTTGATCTGTGATGAGGTTTCCATGGTGATATCACCAGATGAGACTATGGCCACTACAACAATTTCTTTGTGCTGATATGATTCTGAACTGCCTACCTAGCTGAGCATGAAATCCCAGCTCTGCTGAAAATCAATGGGAGTTTGCTGTTGATTTCAGTGAATTTGATATTGTCTCTACCATGACTGGATTTGGAAACATGGTCTGGAGCCATATAGGTCCCAAATGAAGGCGATCTGTAGTCAAGATAATACTTTTGTTTTAAACTGTTCACTGTGTTGCTCAGAACCAGATGGAATTTGCTGACATTCAAACCCATTCCCAGACTGACCATGTCTCCACGTTAAATAAGTTAATGCAAGCCATTTCCCTTATAACTTAAACCCTTAATCTGTGCTTATTTGATTTCATTGCATAGAAGCCCTTAGAATGGAGTGGGATGATATTGTATAAGGGATCATAAAAACACAGAAGATGGTTCCCCTTCAAAGAGCTTACAGCTGGATACAGATGAGCTTATGAGAAAGACTGGGAAAGAATGAGGTAAGGAGAATTGGCAGTGATCAGAGCAAATTGGTTGCCTGACTACATTGGGTCTGATATCTTGCCATTTGAATAATTGACATTGGTTTTTAGGAGGCTTTTGAAGGACGACAAAGTGATTTGCTCTTCTGTGTGAAGCAGGTGGAAGAAAGCGTGGCAGTGCTTTTTGGAACTTGAGTTGGCAGCAGAGACAGGCAGTATGGGCAGAGGGATGGCAAGGTGGGTGAGGTTGCAGCAGTGGCAAACAAAAGAGAGATTGCGATGCCCCTCAAGGTAAAGTTGGTAGCAAAAATTTGGTGTGACCAGGAAGGAAGAGCTAGTGGAGGAATATAAAGAAAGTGGGGGAAAGGGCCAAGATAAGATGATGATCTTATTTCAACAGTTCTCTGAATTGGCCTAAATATGGCAAGATTGCATTTGCCAGGACAAGACAAAAGGAAGCTCCTGTAAATACATGAGATGGGTGAAGCTCCTGTTAGGACATGAGATGGGTTCCTAGATAAGAATTTTTAGGTGCAAGTGTGGTTAAGAAAGTCTGTAATTTTCAAGAGATTAGGTGAAAAGAAATTGGCAAGCTTTAGATGTAATCAGGGTAAGAGAATCTCTGGAGGGCTCTGAGTATAAAACAGTTTTCAAACTTTTCTACCTCCTTATGCTAGTGAGACAGCCTTGTATCAGATAAAAAAGTAGACAGACACGCATTTCTGTAATACTTCAACTGGTTTTCATAGTTGAGAATGGCACAAAGGACAGGGTTGATTGTAGAAGGTCAGAAGATCTCTTAAGGAAGGATGTGAGCTGCGATTTTTACCATCCATTCTTTTGGACTGATAAGTAGCTGTTTCTCCTAGCAAGAAGAATATCCCAAATAATATCCCCTTCCTTTATCCTTGTGTTAAAGGTGAATCTATGAGTGTGTGGAAAGATTCAAGAAGGAAAGTGAGAAAAGATATATTAAAGATAAAGGTACATATTTTAAGAAATTGCTTTGAATTTATTGCAGAAACTTCTTTTTTTTTTAAATGAAGAAGACAAAACAACCTCAGTTGTGCCAGTTTTATGTTTAGTTCTTTAACTCGTGTAAATACTGAGTAAATCCAATTCTCTTGAGAAGACACCAATGTTTTTCTTACCAGACTGCAGAGAAACTGTTCTCATGGAGCAATGGTGACCTCTTGTGGTCATCTGGTAAAGCTTCAGGTTTGTCCCATGTATAAAGGAGTTCGAATTTTTATTAAATTCGGGAGGGTCACAACATTGACTGCAACACAAACTATTCCTATACAAGTCCTTTATTTAAGTGGGGAGTATGAGCTTACTCTCAGAGAGTATGGTTTTGCCTCTTTGCTAGAATTTCACTCATGTTGAGGTTAATGTTCTAAGCTGAAATGGGATTTTTTTTTTAAATCCATAAAAATGAAACAAAAAAAGCAAATAAACTTTGTGCAATTAAAGCCTTCTAGATAAATGTTCAGTCTAAATGAGTACAACCCAAAAGTTGTGGCACTGTGCTAGTATACAGGAAAGTACCATATTTTCATTGTTTATGCTGACTGAAGTACAGAGACTAAACATTCTGCATCAGCTGGTGAAAAATGTATTTCTAAAATTACTTTCTTATAAATAATCTAACTTACATTCATATTGGCTAGTGTTTTTAATAGTTCATGCTAGAACGTACCCTTAGAGTTACAACATTACCTTTAATCATGTAAAAAGCTTGTGTTATTTAAGTTGAAATTGTTTATGTGCAGCCATGATCTGAAAGTTAAAAATCTTCTGACTGACTTGAAATGTGGTTTAAACCATCAGTGGGTTTGAGGAAGGAAACTCTCTCTCTTTTGTATAGCATCAAAATCATTGCTTGACTTCCTTTCTGCCTCTGCTGGGTAGTGCAGTATGCTGTGAAATGCGATGTGTAAGTAGCCCTCAGTGGCTGTGTACAGACCTAAGGTATGTCGTTCTTCTTTTGTTCTGCGTTGCCAACGTTAATGTAAAATCTGTAGCTTGAAGATTGGGAAGTCAATACAACACATTTCTAATCTCAATGTATCGGTGAAAGAGCACATCTAAACTTCTCAGTAGCCTTGGGAAGAAAGGCTTGATTAGAAACATACAAACAGACTTCATTACCACGGGATGTCACTGTAACTGAGAGCATTGGAAAACTCAGAGACTGGACTGTGAGGTATTTCAGCGTGCAGCTTTCTGGTGGCTGATACTAGCACAAAGCAAAGATCTTGTCCTTCAAGATTTAAGACAGTTGTTTCTGGCAGACAGTATAATATGAGCTGGAGGCAACGATGAGAGGACAAATCACCTCACATCAGCTTATCATAGGGCTTTTTGTACCTTCCAGTGTGTTTCCTTGTTTTGACCGTTCAGAGGTGGGATGCTGATTCACATAGATTGTCTGCTAAACTACATCCATTT